ACGCTTGAACAAGCATTAGTATTAGGAGCAATTAACAATCTGCTGGCAGGACATAAAATATACAAAATTCACAGCGTCGTTCACAGAGTTCAAGGTTCATTGGAGTGCACGGCGAATGCGTGATTTCAGAGCACTGCCCAAAAGTATGCAGTGAAAAATGTGAAAAGCTTTTCGGTTGAGTGAGAGCAAAACAGCGACATGATGGTTTCATACCCTACAAACTCTTAATGCTATAAATTAATTATTATTATGGACCAGCTTTGATTAATTGATCAAACAAATATTAATCGCATATAAAAGTTTATAAATTGATTTGGGTTCAAAACAAATTCCTCTGAACAGCAGACCTTGTGCCACAAATAAGTAAAGTCTCATTTGTAAAGAATATGAAATTTCAACAACGGGAGACCTAAAAGATAATCTATCATATACACCAAATATACATTTTATATATTATGAACATACTTTGTAACTTTGCCACAACCAGCAGCATTGTTTATTGTGTTACTCAATTTAATGAAAATCATGCAGAAACTAAAGACTAGAATTTTATGCCACACGAATTTTATTTCGCCCATGTGCACTGATAAAAGTATGCTTCCAACTTTAACTTGACACGAAATTATAAAAAACTTTGTTACTGCTCGTATGTGCCTGTACTCTTCATCCAACTTCTGTTATAATCCCATAGAAACACATTCATTCACACACTCAGAAATAAAGCAAATAAATTTTTAAGAGCATACTCCTTTGATTTGAGTTGGGTATGTTTGTGGTAGTGACTCTGGCAGGATTGTAGGGCTCACAGCGTGGCTTGGCATTTTTTCAAGTGCGTTGGCTGGCAATTTATATCACGCTGGAGTTGGCAGGGATAAGACGGCAGGAAGTAGCAAAGAGAGACAGTAGTTTTCGGAATTACATTTCATGCGGTACACTGTGACTGACGCCGGTGAATCTTGTTCTGATTAAAAAGAATACAGAGCAGAAATATGTCAGAGCTTTGTTAATGCACTTACCTCTTGTATAATCTAAGATTTTACAATTTACTTGACTGATCTCAACGCAGTCTATGACGATTAGAATGTATAAGCACTGCATGTTTGTGAACTTAAAATGGTGACCAATGCTGGTTTGTAAATTGCGCTTCGATATTGTGTTGTATGCCACAATTAAGTGGCATATATTTAGACTCATACTTCATATTATTTGTAAGGCCCTTGTTCATGCTACTTATCAAGAACCTAAAAGTCCACTGTCATTCACGCTCTGTTTGCCCTCAAGAAACAGCAATGCGAAATAAAACAAATATTGACAAGTGAGTTTTTGGTGATTTATGTGGTATGACTCAGCCAGCGAATATGGCGCTGGATGAATGAATTTATATGGTGTGGCCAACGAGCGACGGACTGACGCAAATGCCACGACAATTGCCAGACTTTTGGGCAAACAAGAAATGAATATTTACTCATATCCACAGGCACTTAAATAAAATATCTGCAAAAATGCTAGGACAGCATCGGGTCACCAGACCACAGAACACAGAATATCAGAACATCAGAACATTGACTAGAGGCAGTGCATTGAACCGCCCCCAAAAGTGAGATGCATGTGGCCGGTGAATGCAAATCAGTTCAGCCCGGGTGGGCGGTGTTTATGGTCAAAACCCCTTCACCCGCCATTCCATCCAACATTTGTCGCATTTCGGTCAACATTCATTTGGCAGCTTGCAGTGCAGAAGAACAGAAGCATTCACTTGTGCATGTCAATCATTTTTTGACAGCCAGCACACACATCCATCTACGACTCGGACACATACTCATCTCTACATCTGCAGATGCAGTTGCAGCTGCAGCTGGGAATGCATCTATCTGCCACAAGGGGTGACAACGAGAGAACGTCACCCATATGATTGACAAGCCGACAGTTTAACGAGCAAAAACACTTGCAATGCCGTGCGGCTGATTTTAATGCACTTAATTCATTTTAGCAATTGCAAATCCAGTTAAATAAGTGCTATACTCAATTATATTGTCGCTCCATGGCATTTAAACATTATCATGCCTAATTAATGATTATGCTAATTACTATTTAGCACAATTTATAAATTCATAATTCAATTACGAGCTGTCGCCATTTGGGTCTAGAAATACACCAAACACCTACTAAAAATACATATATGTTACATGCACTTTTCGTGTCAGGCCCCAAAAAGTGGGGGCCAACTATTAATTAACGCATAACGTGCAATTATTTTCTCTGATAATTTATATTTGCTGTACATTTATGTATTTTTGAGCGAAATTTATGCGCATTTCATTTTCAATGTTCAATGGGCAGAACGAATCTTTTTAAAGAGGGCAGCAGATGGAGAATTTTCAATAAAACACAATTTAAATACACCAACTACAGTGAGTATTCTATTTGTTGAATGTTCGGTACCTATTAAGCATATTGTCATATTTTTGTTGTTTGCCACACAATGCAGTATTAATAAACTGTTCACTAAAATTCAATTTTCAACACCTCGCACTTCCACATCATTATTATTTTATGCAGGACTGCTGATATGCGCATTTTAAATTAATTTTATCAATTAATTTACTGGTATTTATCTGCAGCAAGAATAAATATTTAATATTTAGTAGAAAGCGAATTTATCACAAGACTTGCCAAGAGCATTTGATGACACGAGACATTCCCCAGTGAGAGAGCATTAGACTAACAACTGAAAAACTGCCCCACATACGTCTGGGGCATCCATCACGTCTGCATTCCCAGACGTACTTTAAGACCCACACGAAAAGTTTTCAGCATTTCTAAAACTTTACCAGCTAATCAATATTCAGTTTGCCCAGTTTATGGTCGCCGATTCAATTACGGCAGCAATTTGAATAATTCAGCACTTTATGCTTAAAGGCAAACTTTAAGCAGATTTAAACTTATAATTTTACTATAAAATTCTGTTTGAATGGATAAATGGATATAGAGTTGTAAAGTGGGATAATTAGTTTTGCAAAACTGACAAATCATCAAGAGTCAAATATTATTTCATGAGCTCCGACATCAAATTCAATAAAAGACATTAAGCAAATTATTGAAGTGCAAATGGAAACATTTTCAATTTAATTCCCGTTACCAACAATTTAAAACAGTTGACCAACAAATCAGTTGTGGCTGTTATTTAATTAAAGTTTCTGCATTCAATTGGAGCTTGGCCAAAAAGACTATGCGGAGTTTGGATCCGGGTCCGGGTTTTGGGTCGTGTCCGTGTCCTTGTCCGTATTCCTTTTGAAAGCATTTTGAAAACACAATAAACAGCTCTACTAAAAAGCCAGTTCCCAATGCTTTTTCACCACTTTTAGTGTCAGCGTTCAAGCAGTTTAGAATAGTACTAGTATTACGCAGCAGCAAAAGAAAATAGGAAAATATAAAAAATATGAGTTGCAAATTTTCACTATTTTCTTTTGCTGCTGCGTGGTACTAGTACTATTCTAAAATGCTTGAGCATGAGCAGGCAGAAGTTCAATCAGAAGGATTAAAAGTTTTGCCTAAAGGGCGAGCTAAGGCGTAGCTCACAGAACAGTGCCTTATTTTGGCACTTTCTTGTTGGGTGTTGTTTTGAAGCTCTGGGTTTCTCTGCTCCTCGTGATTTTATTTCCTGCTGTCCATGCCAAAAACTTTTATACGAATAGCTGACAAAAAAAGGTCCTTTGTTGCACATGGAAATGATTGAAATTTCCAACAACTTGGCCAAACGAGCCACGAGCTAAAATGTTATATTAATTTTCTGACACCAAAAGTAAAAAAGCATATTACGTAACTGGTTATATGCGAGAGCATAGTTCTACCTTGCCTTTAACAACTTTAAAAGGAAATTCTTCGAAATTTCCAGTTTATAGTTAAGTTTTAGAAATTTTGCTATTGAGAGAAATTCGTTAAAAGGCATTTAGAAAACTTTTAGAAATTCTGGAAATTTATTCTTTGTTAATATTTGCAATGTCAAAGTCCAACTGCCTTAAATCTTTAATTAGAATAGAAATGTTTCACACCTGCAAACAACAAACCTAACAGAATTGATATCAGTTAACAGTACACTGTAAACGTTAACAGCACAAGTGCCAGCGAAAGTGAAAGTTTGCCGGCAATAGCACTTATGGGCGTAAATATGTATATAGCGAGTATAAGAGAGCTACAAGCCAGGCAAATGACAGGAACAAAGAGAGTATAAAAGCTATGCGTTATTAATTGTTCACAGAGTGAGAAAAAAGAGGGCGATAACAAGTACTGTAATTTTAAATATTTAAAGGGAGTTGCTGAATGCTTGCAATTGTTGCTCGTAATTTTAACTTGTTGTTATTAACTCAATATTTGAGGAAAAAAAATTATATTTAACCAGAAACTTGAGTTGAAGGTGTAGTCGCTGGTGCTCTCACTTGTATTATTAATCATATTATTATTTTCTATATAAATGTATTAAAAATATTAATATTAATAATTATAAAATATACTAAATGTAATAAATTAAAAATAATATTAATTAACAAATAAGAAACTACGTAATTAAGCAGCTATACGACGGAGATGCTCAGAAGTTTCGAAAACTATTCCGATAAATCCCAATAACCATTTTAATATTGAGCTTTTACTCTTATTTGCTAATTGCATTAAGAACCGTATAAAAAACAAGAGAATTAAGAAACACAATGTAAATCGCAAATGTTATTTTTGAATTTCTTAAATCATGTACATTACTCAAACAAAATACTTGACTATTTCTCTCAGTGAAACTGCAATGCTAGCGATTTTGGGGGGTGCAGCTGCAAATGTGGAGAACGAGGCAAATAACGAGCAGCAGAACCACACACGAGCATACATCTGGCCAATTTGCCGAGCAGACACGATGCGGCATCGTGCGTCGTGCAGTTCGGAGGCGTCACATGCACCACAACAACATTCGCCGGCAACTGCGACCAACAGTATGCAAAACAAAGCTGAAACGTGCAGTTGGCATTGTCATCCCAGCGACACGAACGCAGGCGAAAAGGCAAAAGCCGAAAGGCGAAAAGCGGCCCCAAAGCAACAGCACTTAAATCAAACATTCAGAAACGGCGACGGCGACGGCGACGGCGACAGCGACGCTGGCAATGCTAATGCAAATTAGCAAAACGCTGCGAAAATAAACAAATAATTCTACGGGCGGCAGCAGCACAAATAATTCAGACAGTGAAAAATAACAGAGAAATTCGTGAAATTCGAGAAATCGCAGCATCGTTTGCCAAATGTTTTGAGAACCTCAAAAAACAAAAAAACCACGAACCAAAAAAAAAAAGTTGAAATAAAACAAAATAAAATTGTGCGTGCCATTTGGGAATTGTACGAAACAGAAATCCACAACCAGAACGGAGATGGGCCTTGTGCCAAGGCGGCAATTGGCAACGCATAACAATGGTAAGCACAAGATACATTTGTATCTTCCCAGAGAGCGTATTGTATGTCGCTGTCTCGAAGCCAGTTTAAGTGGGGAATAACTCTTCCTACGATAAAAACGTCCTGTGCATTGGAATTTATCAGATAAGCTACAATTTGTACGCCGGGCAATTTATATCTGTTGAATGCGAGACGAAAACAGGGTTATTGCTGGCAACTGCATGTGACAAGAATACAACGGCGAAAATGACTCCTGTCGATTTTGAATAACTTGTGTAGGATTATTTAAATCAGAACCCGAATGCCCAACTAATAGCTGGGCATATATTGCCAGGAAGGAAACTGGGTCAATAGTCAAGCTAATATTTGCTTGTTTATCGAGTAGAAAAGGGGACCGGATTCCAGTGAAGCAGGGCCCAGCAACAGCAGCACTTGTAAAAAGTTGCCTCATTTACAAAAACGAAATCCCCCCGAAACGTCCCCAGCTAGAAGGTCATTGCACTCTTTTCTGATAGACAGACTGACTGACAGACAGACGAATGGACGGATGGACGGACTGAGTGACGCGCATTCCGTTGATGGTTGTTGGTGGAGTCAAGTGTGGAGCAGCAGCAGCAGCAGCAAAAAGGACGAAAGCATTCAGCAGCTGCTACGCATGTAATTTGTCAGACAGATTTCTCTGAACGTTTGAGCAAGGAGTAGCAAGGCAAGGCAAGGCACCTCCAACACCACCCCCAACCCCACCATCAATCCATACAGCAATCGACACCAACGTTGAACGACATTTCAGGGAAATGGTTTCCTAGCAGCACGGCTGACTGGCTGCCATTTGACAGTGCTCTTTGAGCCAGAACATGCTGGACTTGGAACTTGGGACTTGGGAGGCGACACAAGAAAACAACAGACATAAACATATCAGCGCCAATGATGTGATAAAATGTAAAAATGTTTTAGCCGTGAATAAAGGACTTGAAGATACTCTACACGCCAATAGAAAATAGATCATAGAATCACTTCTTTGTTTGTGTTGCGATTTTGTACTTTCACTTTTCGCTTTACTCAGTATGAAAACTTTATAGACTCTGTTTTTAAAACTGTGGGAGATAAAGACTTTCATGTTGACTCTAGCTTTATGCCTGATTGTAAAAATTGAATTTGTATCGAGGTTTTTATCCAATTTTCAACTCCCTCTTGGACGGGCCTGCCTTAATATTCACACTCTTGCTACCTCCGGTATCAGAGTATTATAAAATTAAGGGGCAACTGAGCGCTTCCAAGATTTTGACCTGTCACACAGAGTGCATAGTAAAGACGTTTAATTTGATGACACCAAAGTGTGCCTTAACCTTCCTTCCCATCCTTGAATCGGCAGCAGGCAAATAGTCAACGACAAAAACAAAGTGAAAGAGTTTCCGTTCTAGTCAAATGAACGAAAGGATGTCTTATGCACACTGCAAACAAAAAACAGTGGGCAAAACTGTAATGTTCTTTAGTAAAAATTAAGATGTTAATGCGAAACAATTTTAAGTTCCAATTCCGATTCTTGTACGAAAAATATAAAGAATTCCAATGGGATTCCAGTATTTTTTCAACTTTTTTACGATATTCGGTTAGGTGACTTGGTTTTTTAGGTGGAGTGATGACTATTAATTAAATAAAATCGAAATTATATCCACTTGGGTTACTCAAGAAAATATTGAATTCTGATTCCGATTCTGAATTTCAATCGGTTTCGGTTTGACACTCTGATAAAAATTGATTTTTTTGTTTTTTGATATAAGCTTAAAATATTCTAATAAAAACCTGAATTTATTTACTAAAATATGGAAAATTATAAGTCAACTTTCATTAGGCAACGCTTTTGCTTGTGTCCCAAAGACATTTTAATATCAGAAGCATTGACAAGTTTTCGCTTTTGTTTTATTATGCTCTTTTAATGCTTTCATTCTGTACAATTTTAAATATATTTATCTGGATGGAGATGTGGAAAGATAAATCATAATTTAAAATAATTGCATCAGGTACTCATATTATACACAGGTACAAATATTCATGATGACTGACAAATGTGTGCTTCGAAAGTCATCACTTGTCTTATGGCTGCAACCACCAACATTTAATGAGACAGCCAAAGCTGCATCAGACTTTTTAAAATTTTCCCCAGAGCAAAAACTTTTGCAATTAATTACGGGGAGACCTTTAAACGTTGCAGGGAGTGTGTGAGGTATTTGAGTGTGGCACGGGGCAAGCAACGATGTACTTGAACTGCGTTCAATATAAGGCAATGAGCTCAGATAAGCATGTCGAGCTATTGCAATTAGTTTCGAGTCGCAAATGGCAATGGAAATGCAGTCAATACAAGTGGAAATGAAATCTGCAAGCATTTAGAGTGGATTCAGACTAGGCTCCACATCTAGCTATGTATAATGGGCTGCAGCCGAGAACTTTCTTGGCCCACTTGACGAGACCAAACTAATGAGAGACGCCACCGCATGATGACTGACGATTGACAAGTAATGAGGACCACCAACCCGTCCGGACCCAATGTTTGCAGAATGGGTACCTAAAGGCTGTGTCACTCAAGGAGAAAGAGGAAAGGGATTGCCAGTGAAACGTGCTGAGTGGAAGCAACTAGGTGTTAAAGTGGAAACAAAGTGCTCACGAAAGTCCACACAGATGTGGCCTGCTAAGAAAACTGGGCGAAAGAATAGCAACAAAGTCGCAAAGTGAGTTGTTGCCATGACCATGCTAAGATAGGCAAAGAAACCAAAAAATATATATATAAAAGAGGTGGCTTTCAAAAGCTAACAAAAGCAGAAAACTGGTAGACAGTAGTTTCGAGACACCATAATGTCGTTTCATTGGCTAGGATGTGGCAAAAGGCGAAAGTTATAGGAAATATCCTGCATGCATCCTACATTAAATAATCTAAAGCGCTCTAATCGACGAAACTCGACCTTATCCAAATTATATCATATTACCACTCGTTCCCCGTAGCTATTGAAGTCTATTCATATTTGTGTTGTATGTTTTACACAGAAAATGATTGATAATTAAATATAAATAGTTGATTTATTTATTTAACAACTTTGTTAACTGATCTTTATGAAATTCATCAATAGATGCTGAGGTATGCTCCTACTGAAATCGTATGCTATATTTCTTCTTTTGTGGTTTTCATTTTATGTATTTTTGAGTAACGGGTCTTTACCTCTTATAGTCTCTTATAGCCTAACTGCACTATGCCGCTAAAAGCATCTTATTTTACTTTGTCTTTTCGAAATAAATAATAAAACTATAAAACAGATTTGCAGCAGTTTTCTGAAAATAAATAAGAAACATATTTAAAAATTAAAAAAGGATTCCATTTCCATTTTGTTTTCAGCGTTAAATTATAATAAATTAAAACAAAACAAAATTAAAAATTATTGCAAAAAACCTGAATTACTCAGGTCGAACATACTTTACGAGTGATGAATGTTCGGAATGTAAAGGCATACTGCAAATCCTGTAGATATTCAATAATGTAAGAGATTTTAATAATGTATCCTCCGTTTCATACTAACGGACGGACGGATAGACGGATCGATAGACGTAAATGGCTGAACTCAATTTAAATTCACGTGAACAAAGACATTATCATGAAAAATTAACATTTTCTGGAGTTAAAACGCTTGCTTTAATATAAATTAAAAATCAGTTGCATTAGATCAAGAGCTCATGTTGGTAATAACAGCAAGTTTTTTAAAAGAATTTTTCTGAAAACTCCCTAAATCATGGAAATGCACATATTGTGGTCCCCTGCTTGGTTGCTTACATAAGTTTCTTTTGCTCAAATATGCCACAACTTTTTTATCAAGTTGTCGTCAGCCATTTGCAACAGCACCCAACGCTGAACAATGCCACTGTATCCAGTTGCGAGAAAACTCCCTGGCTGTTGCCATGATTAATGTTCAAATTAAACAACGCCAGACTGACGTTAATGACAACAAAACAGAAACAACGGCAACAGTATTACTACCAACAATGAAAAAAAGTATCTAAAAAGTTATTACCATAAACAACAAAGGGTTGCAAGATAATGAATTGCGCATAGTCGGGTGACTCAGTGCCGTCATGGGAATAAAGCAATTTCAATATGCATAAATAACTAAATAAAACCATATATTTTTATCACTGCTACCCTAATTTGCTTAGTTAAATGGCATAATTTGTATTAAGTTCAGTGATTAAATAGAATTTCAATTAGCTAATCAATCAAATCTGAGCCATGATCAAATAAAATACCCCATTAGCAATGTCAGTCATTCCACAGCACTCTCTCTCTCTCTCTCTTTCTATATATATATATATATCTCTCTCTCTCTCTCTCTCTCTCTCTCTCTCTCTGTACACGCCGATTAGTTTTCATCTGAACTACTAAGGACGGACTCTGTCCGTCCCTGGGAGTCATGTGATCGCAATTTCGCTTCGCTTCCGATTCAATTTCGCAATTTAATTAGCGACCCAATGACGAAATGAATGATTGAGGTGACAAGCCACTCGCCACCAGCTCCCCCAACTTAGGCATTATTGATTGGATTTTTAGCAGCTAGAGAAAAAAGAGTGTGACATTGATGTGCAGCTGATATGATACCATTTATGGAGCACTGCTGTTTGTGCCATCATGGCAAAAATATCAATTAATTAACGGCATGATTTAGTGTTAATTGAGCGTCAATACATTATACACATCATCGATAGATAGGTTCAGGCGTCAGAGGTCCCCTGTGGGTTATCTCAATGCACCACATTTATGCCAACAGACGGGGTAAGGCAATCAAGGGAAATTGGCAATGTACATCATGTTTTCATTGCTTCTACTTAAATTAACTCATGAATATAATAAAAATCATTTGCAATTGGTTGGTCATGGTTGCAAACATATAAAATACTTTGATGGACAATGTGGCAAAAAACAATGCAGCAACAAAAAATACTGACAAAATATTACACAATTTGGATAAAAGAAATATAAAAAA